ATTATGATCATGCGGAGTTCAAAAGCTCTTACAAGCGGGCACGAACCTGTAAAACGCGGTCGACGAATAAAACCATTATCAAAAATAAGCGATTTTCAATTCGGGAATTCCTTCACATATTCCGTAATTCCCCGTTTAAGATGTTTTGACTTGACTTGCTTTATTCGTCGAGAATTGTGCCATTAAGTTTCGAGCACATGTAGAAGGTGTTTGTGAATATGGCTCCGAAAAAGAAAATGCTTTCCTTAAAAGAAATAAATAAAAAATGGTGTGCGTCACGGGACGCTCGACAAAAGTGATAACTTCATATATTTATAGAAACCATAAAATATCGAAGTTGTTGAACGGATGATGGTAATAATAATTTTATTTTATAATTTTAATATTATTCTTGGTTTAATAATTTATAAATGGATCAGGAATAGGTAAAATGTAATTTAGTTCCCTTTTGAATGTAAAATATATTTTTTATTTGCAACATTTAATATTCTTCAACGAGAGGTTATACATATTGCTCTTCTTGGGTTTGTGTAAATTCTTCTTCTTCTTGAGTTTCTGTATTTTTTAGTCGCAATTTCTTATTTGCTTTGTATGATCTTTGACGCTCCGTTGATGCAAGCTACTTTGAGGTAATCTATTACATTACCGAATGCTCATTTTTAGCAAGAAATCTTCTATTGCAACATTTGCTTGCATTGCAAAGAAGCAAAAAGACAACGGCACGCGGTGTTCCCAAGCGGTCACCCATCCAAGTACTAACCGCGCCCGACGTTGCTTAACTTCGGTGATCGGACGAGAACCGGTATTATTCAACGTGGTATGGTCGTTGCCTATAAGTGTAAGCTCAAACACGGGTTTTATACGTTTAGTATTTCGGCTCTGGTTAATATTCTTCAACGAGAGGTTCTACATATTGCTCTTCTTGGGTTTGTGTAAACTCTTCTTCTGCTTGAGTTTCTGTATTTTTAGTCGTAATTTCTTATTTGCTTTGCACGTATAATCTTTGACGTCAGTTGATGAAAGCTACTTTGAGTTGATCTATTACTGAATGCTCATTTTTTAGCACAAAATCGTTTTTGGCGTTGAAAGCATTACTTACTACTTTTCGCTGCTTCAACTTGTATCTGGATAAAACTAAAAAATAAATTAATTTTGGTGATTTGAAGACGTTCTATCTGCTTAAAATAGACGGTAAAACGAGGAAGAGCTATAGAGACAGGATACACTTGACACACTATATGTATACATAATGTAAGACATCGCGCGTAGATTAAAAAAAATATATTCTAACTGAAATAATCCAAGACTAAAAAAATTAAACTAAATTGAAGGAAGGTTCAAAGGAATCAAAAGGTATATAAAGGAAAAGAAATTTAATTTTGATGCGTGGTAAACACAATTTATCATTGAAGATAAGCCCTAATAAATTCGTTTTACATATTTTGCAACTATAAGCTGAAGAGAGATTCGTATCGTCTTAAAATCAAGAATGCGTTGCGTTATAGGAAATAAGAAGACCGAACCCATGTTTTTCGAAATAACCGAGGTAAACGCAAATATTTTTTTCAATTAAATTCAAAACATATTTATTATATATTATTACAAAACAGTAATGATATTTATCATTTTATGTTAAATATGAAAAACTACAAAATATATGTCTAAATATTGATAAATTGATGTTACAAAATAAAATAACAAATAATAGAACATATTATTGCATTAGAAGTTAATAATAATAGTTGACACTTTTTTTGCACTTAATCTTGAGCGTTTTTAATAAATTGACCTTGCCTTCTTTAGAGAATATCCGCTCAACATCTGGTTTAACAATTGCCTCCGATGAAAATCACTAAACAGGTAGGTAGTAATAT